AGAAGACAAGCAGCTGAGGGTTGCCCTGGACACCCACTGTAATCTCCTGAGATACTCCTATCTGCATTAATCTATCTATGCACTCTTCTAGATAGGAAGGAAGTGTACAAACCTATCTATTATGTCTGGAAAGTAAAAAAAACAAAAAAACAGGTGATCACAAGATGGCAGTGAAGAGCAAAGAACGCTGAATTGTCTACCTCTTGCTTCCATCTAGTGTTTGTTTGGATTTTCACAGTCCAGAAGGAATAACCCCAGTTCTGAATATTGCCATTCATAATTTTCTAAGAATTCTCTATAAGACCTATGTGCAATCGAAAAGTCATCTTTGGAAATAATTATGATTCTGGAAGCCAATCTCCTTTTTTTCTTTTTTTATGATATATGTATAGAAGGGTACAAGTAGTAAGAGAAGGAGGAGCAGGAGAGGGTGGAACAGAAAACGTACAGGTACCACAAGACATATCTAGACATACATTGAGTTCAATGTTTGGGATCTCAGATTCAGCAGGTTTTTGAATACAGTTTCTTTTTTTTAATACACTCCACTTATCTCCAAAGTCAGATAGAAGAATCACATGTGTGTCTGTTTCATTACCGTCTTCCCCAATTGGGGTCATTCCATATAGACTACAATTCTGAGCCTTTCACACTGGCTATCCATAGTTATGGAAATCTAGTTTGTTAATCAAGCAAAAATGGATATTTTATACATAAACCAAATTGATAAATCATGTTCAACAAATAATAATAGTTAGATTCACATAACCTGGTAAGAGAGAGTCAAACAAACTGTATGATAGTTTACTGTAGTATATAAAACCTGCCAATGTAACTTCATCCTATTCCTTTAAGGACACTGTTTGGGTTGCTGATAACAAAATACAGCTGAACAGTTTTTCACCAAAAAGAATATCAGGGTCCAAAATACTTACAGCTTTTATTTTTGTCCCCTGAACATAACAACATATTTTTCCTATTTTATAGTTAAGGGATTCACTGAAATAAATATTATTCTTAGAGTTAGTAACTAGAATGACATTTGAAATATGTCTCTCCAGCACAGGGATGTCAAACTGCCGGCCAGTAGGCCGGATGTGTCGGGTCATGCCCATCCCAGGCCACACCTACCCCAGCTCCGTGATTGGGGAAAACATCGCGAAACATCATGTTACGGCAATGTGATGCAGCAAGTTTGATACCCATGCTCTAACAGGAATCCATTGGTTTTGATAGAGAAAAGACTGAAGAAAAGACTGGGGAAATGCTGAAGGATTTTTTTCTTCAGGCGATATTATTCAATTAAACAATTCAGGACAATGGTATTCCTTAAAGAGAGAACTAAACAACCTGTTGCACTTTGTAGGGCATTAAACATGTGTCAATCAATATTATCAGTCATGTTCGGATTGCTAATTCAAAATCTGACTTGGTTAGAGACGGTGTCCACTGGTTCGTCACATAGGTTTTTTTTTTAATGTGCATATAATGCTGCCTCGTTTATCAGTCCACTGCAGCTATTTTGGGTCACTAGCATGTCAGTGCCTGGAAAAATCACAGTACAGTATAAGAAGTTAAAACTAGATTTGAAAAAGTCAGAGGTTCAACCTACAACTTCTCCAGATCCTGATGATGATTTACCCTGTCCTGATGATGATTTGTGCAAGTCAGAAATAGTAACAACAGACCAGATGATTGAATTAACTGATTTAGAAAGAGGCTTCCTATATCCCTATATGGGGCCTAGAATGGACCATTTGGTGGGTCATGGGCATGTATTGCTGTATAAGTAAGATTCAAATAATGCAAATATTGATGCGCAAACATGTTATATATTGTAAAAACATTTATGCAAGTTATGCATTTCTTCATTAACATGTAAGGTCACAAGCCTTTAAAACTCAATAGCAAGGAAGAAAATATACTCAGAAACTTATATATGAAGTTTCCCCTGAATTCAACACATTTTTATATTTAAGATTTCTACTTCAGTATTTTTATATAAACATAATTATTTTACAAAGTTGCACATTCCTATTTCATTTTCTTTTTAAAAAAATCTTGAATATTTTTAAAGCATTTCTTAAAAGTTCACTGCATTATATTTTTATTATGTCTATGCAATACAGCTACAATTTCATTTTCCTTTACATTTGTATCATCTACATCACCTATCTATAATCTGCACCAATCAGTGCTAGGATACCTAATGGCTGGGGCTGATGGGAGCTGTAATCCATCTCATTCAGGAGGACACCAGGCTGGGGACAAACTAAGAGAAATCAGTTTTGATATTCTCGATGGAAACCTTTCTACCAGAGGTATCTGGGAATGGAGGAAGGGGAAATATAAGTTTTTGGTTGTTGTTTTTTTAAAGTCAAGATGAAACCCACGAGTACTCAATCAGAGCTCTATACCTTGTTTTGGTAGAACTGTTACATATAAAACTTATTTCTCATTGAACAAGACATTTAGAAAAGTATATAATAAGCCCTCCCAATGTGATTTATTCAAAAGCCACAAACTATTGAAAAATATGATGTGTTCACATATAAGAGTGAAAACACTATTTTACCATAGTCCCAGCTGATCAGTTTTCCCTAAAAGCGGCATAAAAATGAAGTAACAGAATCATTAGAAAAGGAGAAATTATCAGAAAACTCGATCCACATTACTGTCTCTGAACTAAACATTAGTTATTGTTCGGTAACCCCTTAATTAACCCAAGAGTAATTAAAGAAAATTATCCCTTTTAACACAGTGCAGCTTACTTCTGAGTAGAGGTCACAGGATTGCACTACCCCATCAGGACTTCTGGATTGCAGGATTTAATAGAAGTTGGAAAGTGAACAGAATAGTCATCCGATCTCCGCCACAGAATTTCCTATAATTTGTTTTGGGAGGAAAATCTTTTTGGACTTACAAGTTGGACAAGTTACAAGGGTGCTTCTATCGCAGCACATTGTTTTTACACATACACTATTCAGATCTACAAGTGTGGTTTTGTGTGCAGAAATTCACTGCCTGTCCCTGTCAGCTTAGAAACAAACCAAATCCACACACCTGAATAAGTCAATATTGCTTTAAACCCTTAATAGAGCTGTTGTTCCTCTCTTGTGCCCTTTACATGATAGAGGAATGCAAAAGGACTCTAGCAGTCCCAGTAGTTTCCCTCCCCCCCCCAAGTGCTAAAAGAAAAAAATGCACCAGTTCTTCCCCACTAATGGAAATGGCATGAGTCCTTTTAACTTTCTGGCTACAGGCCCTTCTGAAACCGTTACACAAGAAAAAAAAAAACATTGGAAAGAGAAAGGGAAGAAATACAGGCTGTTTGTCAAACTATCCCATTTCTCATTATGGAGATGTGCAGGGTTATGTCCAGCTCCCTTTGACTTTCAAAACGTGATGGGAGCAAACCTTTTCCAAAAGGAAAGGAAAAGAAAGGCCCTTTTTCCAAAATTATAACCCTCCCCCCACCCCAGCATTCTTTCCTTAAGTACTTGAAAGATTGGCTAGAAGTGGAGATTTTGACTTGAGCCAGAGAAATACAGCTAGAAAAGAAAATAAGTCAAATCTGATCGAAAATGTGTGAGCACGTAGTGTTTGGACTGGCAACCAGGAAAAGGTTCTGTAATACACGCAGCCACATACACACTTTGCGTAAGGCGTGCATCACACCATTCAACGGTTATTAGCCAAATGAGAAAAAGAATACAGTCTTAAGAAATCTGCAAGATTTTTTTTTTGATGCAGAAGGAACTTCTCAGAGCCCAATAAAGGACCAAAATCTTGAATAATTGCACTATCTTCAATCAAAGTGTGAAAATAAGCCACAACAACCTCGCTCCCAACAATCTCTTTTATTCTTTCTCCGAAATAGGTAAGAATAATAAGACAGAAAACCACTCCACTGTCACTGATGGTGCCTATCCAAAACTTGATTAAATAGGGAACCACTAGATTCTTCTCTAGATAAAAACCCAAAGAGCAAAGGAATCCTTACATTGGGTAAGCGAAAAACGTTTGTGGTGATGGTGTTGGTGGAGATTTCTTTAAACCAAAACTGTATTTTCCCCCCCTCTTGGCAGGATGAGATTCCTCATAAGCCCAACCCTAAAGATTTTCCATTCTCTGTAATAAAGCATACAGTGCTGGAGCAGCATCTCTTCTGCCAACATCTCCTCCTCTTCCTTCTATCTTTCCTACCACTGTGGCAGGAAGAATAGCAACAAAAAAAAGGGGGGGGGAGGAAGGAAGGAAGGAAGAAGGAAACGGGATTTATCACCGAGCAAAACACCCCCCATATCTTGAATACACAGCCACCCCAAATGGTGCTAGCAAAGACAACAGCCGCCATCGAGAATCACTTTCCCCACCCCCCCACCCCCTTCAGCGCAATGACATTAATAACCAGTTTCTGAAGAAACTAGAAAGAACGAGGAATAAATGCAGTCCTGCCTCCGCTCCCCTAGGACCCAGAGCTCCAAGTGGAAAGAGCGAGAGAGGAAAAGGTGGGGAGGGGGGGGAAGGAATCTCAGCAGGGATCTTTACACACATACACACACACACATACGGCACCACATACACACCCCATTTCTTTGGCGATGTCACCCACATACCAGGAGGAACTGACGCCCACAAGAATCAACTGACACATGCCAAATCTAAACACACCCACCCACCCACCCACCCACACGCGGGATGGCGAGACCCTGCACACTGCAGAGGAGACAGATCCACCTTCCAGGTAGCGCCTGCACATTTACGCGCCACCCCAGCCTCGCGCCCTCCAGCCGCCCCGCCGATTCCCTTGCCTCGGGAGTACCCACACATTCCCCAGCGGAAGATGGGCGCTCCCTCTCCCGCCGGACTTCCCCTGACCGTGCCCGGGTGCCCGGTGCCGGCGCAGTGCCGTGCGCCCCAAGGAGGCACCAAGGAACAAGCTCGGGCTCCGGCCGCGGAGGTCTCGCCCCGCCACCCCCGCGTCGGCTTCCCCTTACCTTCCGACAATTCCAGCTCCAGCTCGGCCAGCCGCGCTCTCACCTCCAGCGGCAGAGAGAGGCTCTCCAGGCTGCGATCCGCCATAGTCGATCCCGGGAAGGCGATCTTCTCGCTCGCCCCGCGCCCTTCTCTGCCGCGCCGGGTGCGCCCGGGGGTCTTTGTTCGCGACCCGCGCACACAAACACGCCGCCCCGGAGGAAGGACGGGAAAGGGAGAGGCGGGCGGGCGGGCAAGCGAGCGAGCGAGCGAGGGGCAAAAGCACAAAAGCGGCCGGCCCTCCCCACCCCCGCGCGCCGGGCTCTGGTGCCCGAGTGATCGCGCGGGCTCAGCTGGGAAGGAGCCCCGCGACGCGCAGCGCCAGCCCTGCCCAGCCCAGCTCCACCAGGGATGGGCTGGAGGAGGGTATGCAGAGCGCTCTCCCTCCTCCCTCGCCGCCGCTTCAGTTCAGCCCCGCCATGGTGGCGTGGCTGCTGTTGCGGCTGCTGCTTCTTCACGCCGCCTCCCGATCCGGGCGAGCCTTCGGCGGGGTGGCACGGAGCCGAGCTGGGCCCGCTGCAACCTCGCCGCTGCCTCCCTCCCGGCTTCACGCGCTGGGCGCAGCAGCGGCGGCGGCAGCAGCAGCAGCAGAAGAAGGAGGAGAAGAAGAAGAAGCAGCAGCAGCAGCAGCAGCAGCGCGCTCTCCCTCGCTCCACCCCGGCCGCGCGGCGGCGAGGAACTGCGGTGCCGCGGCGGGGGCGGCTCGCTTCTGTCACTCGCGCACGTGACCCGGCTGGGCGCAACGGGGACCGCAGGGGGGCGCTGGAGCACGCGCGCCTCCGGGGAAGCCCCCTCCTCTTTTCCCGGCCCCTCGGCCGGCCGGCTAGCCAAGCTACAAGCGCGACTCCGCGCCCGAGGAAATGGGGAGGCTCCCCGAAAAAAAAGATAGCGCGCAGGGAAGAGGGTCCCCGGTCTGGCGGTGGAGGTGGTCTGTGTACACGTGTAACGGGCAGCGGATGGGGGGGGGGGGGGGCGCATCCCCGGACCGCGCTGATTTTACACCGGCTTCGGTGGGATTCGGCAGACGTTGCAAAAGGAGCGATGAAGAAAACGCTGCTCCCCATCTGGTGTTTCTTCCCCAGGATTATGGTGGTGGCAATTTCATCGACTGTCTACCCAAACGGTCTCCAGATGGTTTTATAAATAGGAAGCAATACGGTACGATGGTATGCATCTTGAGATTACAAAACCGCTCTAAAGTAAACTTGGGTTATGAAGAAGAGCAGCGTAAATTTAGGCAGGGTAACCCTGCACAGCCAGAGGATCTGAGTTGGTCAGTCTTCTCAACCTTATTTCTCCATGTAAGTTCTATAAACTTTGCAGGATGGAGTTAAAAGTGTCTGCTCCAGTGAAGGAGGACCATCTGTCTCCCATGCGGATCTCCTTCCCCACTATTGAATAACCATTTGGACATTTTTCCTAGAAGTTTAGCCAAAATCTGCTTCTTTGCTGTTTTCCATCTACTTCAGGCTTATCTTCTGAAGCAAGTGAGAAAATCTGCTTGCCTGTTTGCTTGCTTATCCATCCATCCATCCATCCATCCATCCATCCATCCATCTTTATTACTTTATAAGTAACTCAGGTAGTGAACATACCTAATATTTCTTCCTCCTCCTGTGAGATGGGTTGAGTTGAGTTGATAGAGAGTGACTTGGTCCAAGGTCACCAGCCAGCTTAGAAGATATCTCCTAACCAAAGATTCTCAAAAAGTTTGGGGTCCATTCTCAGCCTCCCACTTTCACATCTTCCCCATGATCATCTGGCCAAATGAGATCCACATCACTTTTGCTTCCATAGGTTCTTTACCAAAATTGATTAGAGCTGAAACTGCCTTACTGAACCATTCAAATGATGAGTCTAGGAGTTATGTGATTACTAAAATCCAGAAAATGGACAATACTGAACAGGCTTCAAATGCAATTACTGAGTGAAAATCCATATGTGAATCCATTAAGTGGATCTGTGATCTTGCACAAGCTACAAGGAAAGGTGTAAATAGGAAATGCAATGATAAATATCAAAAACAGAGATTTAATTGAGTTTGGAATCTAATCAGTTCTAACCTATTATTACTTCTATTTTTTATTGAAGAGTATTCTGTTGAAAAGTTTATGCTAAGCAAGTTTATACTAAGAGCTATTATTAAAACATCAGGCACACAAAATGAGATTAGTTAATTTTTAGATTTCAAATTTTCACACATATTTTGGTAAACATGGTAAATCCTTCAAAAATCAAAGGTTTGCCCAAATACAATTATAACTACCCACTGAAAAACTTAAACTCCCATAGTCTTAAAAATGCAAACTTGAATGTGTGTTTGTTTATTGGACACCACCCACATTTTCTAAACATTGAATTATAACAAGTTAGAGGAACATTATTCTAAACATATCCACTCTTTCAACTGTTCTTCAGGAAACTTGGTTTCCAAAACCCCTCACTGCTTGCTTCAGGATACACACTGATTTATCAAACATAGTTTTGATTACAATTACAAACTAAACTTAGAGAAAAAAAAGAGAGAGAAAAAGAAAAGGTTCAGGAAAAAGGAAAGAAAAGAAAGAGAGAGAGAGAGAGAGAGAGAGAACTGATAAAAAAAGCCTAAAGAATTGTCTTCCAGTCTTCATCATAAGCATAAACAAATTTTAAAAATCTTTGCCCCCTGTAAGGTTACCAGCTTAATCTCTTAATCTCATATCCCATCCCTTATCTATAAGCAAATCTATAAAACATGGAGAAGAGAATTTATGTCTGTGGATGGGTGAGTATGCTTCTCTCTGGTGAGCTTCGTTTTAGTAGTTCAGTAAGAAATAGGGGCCAAATGCAGATCAGGTCACATAGTTAAAATTTGGATGCTTGACAACAGGTAAGTATCAGAGATGCAGCCTCCCAAGATCTTGTGATTCAAACCAGTTTCCGACAGGCAAAGTCAATAGGAGAAGCCAGATTCACTTAATGACACATGACTCACGTAACAACCACAGTGGTTTGCTTAACAACTGTGGCAAAAAGGTCACAAAACGAGGCATAACTCATCAACTGCCTTGCTTAGCAAAGAGAAATTTTGGGCTCCATTGTGGATGCAAATCAAGGACTACCTGAATGTGACCTTGAACTCTGAAGGAAAAGAAAGAATATAATATAACACATAAATTACATGGATCTATATGTTTTCTTATTGTTCACTCCATAATTTTTATCTTTTCTTACTATTTCCTCCCCACCTCAAAGCCTTTATCCATGATGATGGTGACTATCCTTTGACCCTTGAATATCACTATGATTTTTTCAGAACATTTAATAAAGGCCATTGTATTTATTTCCTTACCACTACACTCTGCAACAAAATAAAATTTTATTTTTCTGTGCAGCAAACATCCTGCAGTAGTCTTGTTATTTCTATTATTAAGCATAATTCAGGCCAAATTTAGGATCCATAAAAAGGTTGTGTCAGTTTTTGTAGAGTTAGGGTTGTGGAGGTGAAGGGCAAGCGGCCTGCATATACAACATGGCATTGGAAACAAAAATTCTTAGAAATTGATTTAAGATTTTGTTATTTTAAAAAAATCTGCCTCCACCCTAGATACATTACAAATTCAGATATCAACCTGTAGAACCAGAAAAATATAAATAAATATGCTGCAAAACCTGTTTGGCCAGAAGTGATAGCAGGACAGAATAAATCTGTATACAATCCCAGTGTTACTAGTTTTTTTAAAAAACTTAGTTTGATACCAATACAGTCCATTTCTGTCATAGGAAAGCATATTTTCAATAGCCGTAATCACTTGGGGCAATACTTTAACTTGTTAATTTGAGTGCCATGAATGACAATTATTGATCCATCTGAAGATGGTCAATGCTGAGCAAATAAGACGTTATGAAGGGAGCTTTTTAAATCAAAATATAATTTAATTTCTTTCTAGCTCCATTAGCTTTTATACTGTTTGCCTTCACCTTTTCACATCACCCTACCAGAGACTGTTGTAGACACTGACCTGGCTCCATGATGAGATCTAGGAGTTAAGACTAAAGACTTCTTTGGAAAAATGGTGTTTTAAGGGTGTCAGATCTGAATTGGAAGCACTATAAAATGTTCATATCTCTTTGCCACCATCTAATGGTTATTTCCACCCTTGCAGTTCAGATCTGGTGACTCTAACTTTATTAATTCAGTCATGTTCTACTACAGCGGTCGCCAACTAGTGGTCCGTCGACCACTGTGGTCCACGAGAAAATTTTGGTGGTCTGCAGAAAAATTATTTGCATTTTTTATATTGCACTAAATCAGGGGTCCTCAAACTACAGCTCCTGGGCCGGATATGTGCAATGAAAGTTTATGTTGCTGCAGAGAGTCCCCCCCTTCGGGGTCTTTTTGTGCGGGTTGGAGGGAGGCAGAAATTACAACTTCAGGTCTGCTTCAGCCTCCTGATGTGGGGCTTTGGGCGAAGGCTGGAGGGAAGTGCTGCTGGTGGCGAAGAGCCGGAGGGCTTCGTTCCAGTGGGACTGCATCATGGCCTAGAACTGGCTGACCATCTCAGTCCACTGAGCCTCCAGGCACCAGTACCTGGCCTTGCATTCCTGCAGGTCTTCCCTCTGCTTGGAAAACCTATGCTCTTAGTCCTCAGTGGGGTGCTTCTGCTGATCCTCCTTCTCGGTCAGATCCAATTTGAACTGAGTTGTTTTGCCAACTCTTTCTCATGGTGGCTGCTTAGCTCCAACAACTGCTTCCTGTTGGAGCACTAAGGAGCCTGGGTGGGCAGGCGAGGAGAGGCTGGGAGGGGATAGAGGCCGGCGAGCTGTCCCTCAACGTGAGTGACATTGAGTTGACCACACCCATCCAGTCACATGATCAACTAGCTACGCCCACCCAGGCAGATCATATTAGTGGTCCGCGGGATTTAAAATTATACATTTAGTGGTCGGAAAGGTTGGTGACCCCTGTTCTACTATACAAACAGTTCCCACTTACACCTTGAAATCACAAGCCAGCTGGAGAATTCTGGGAGGTGAAGTCCACACCTCTTCAACCTTCCACACTGGAGAAACACTGCTTTAGCACTAATTCTACTAAACTAACCTGATACTAACCACAATCAAGTGTATATTTTTTTACTATAAATGTAAAGGTTCCCCTCGCACATATGTGCTAGTCGTTCCCAACTCTAGGGGACGGTGCTCAAAGCTGAAGAGCCAGCGCTGTCAGAAGATGTCTCCATGGTCATGTGGCTGGCATGACTAAACGCCAAAGGCGCACATAGTGCTGTTTCCTTCCCACCAAAAGTGGTCCCTGTTTTTCTACTTGCATTTTTTAGGTGCTTTCAAACTGCTAGGTTGACAGAAGTGGGGGCAAGTAATGGGAGTTCACCCCGTTATGCCGCACTAGGGATTCGAACCGCTGAACTGCTGACCTTTCGATCGACAAGATCAGCGTCTGAGCCACTGAGCCACCGCGTCCCTCTTTTTTTTTACCATAAGCAATGGTAAAGGTGAGAAGTGTGACAAAACTTACTTATAGTTCGAAAAGTATGTTGGAGCAGGGGTCCCCAACCC